GGCTTTTAGTGATGCTGGGTGCTGTGAGGGGCAAAGAAAGGCATCCCCATGGACAGGGAGAGGTGTTTGTAGTGTGGAGCGGGAGAGAGGGGCTAGTTTTCACTCATCTGGGGGTGACATGCTGAATTGCCTGCCTGGCAGCTCTAACTGCAAAGACAGTATTCCATTCCCCCCCTGCTTTCTAGAGCTGAAATCTGCTCTTCTCTTTCCTCTCCTCTCCTATCCCCTCTCTGCTCCGCATCCCTTTGGCAGCCCCCTCCCATCCCACCTCCCCACTCCCGCGGTCCCCCTGGTTTTCCATGGATGGGAAGCCAGCGCCAGGAGCTGTTTACAGAGCCAACAACCTCCTGCTCTATTGGGGCCGCGGGGGGCTGTGGGGGTGTGGAAGCGGGTGCTCACATCCCCTCCCAGGGCTGCGGGGCACGGCACGGGCCTGTTCTCAGCCACATCCACCTCGGGCCAACGCTCCCCTCTCTCGTCCCCAGCTCCCAGAGGAAATGACCCCGGTGAGCCCAGGGATTGCTGTGGGATGGAGCCCGACTGAAGCCCAGCCAGAGGCTGGGAAAGGGAATGGGAAATTCCTGGTGAACCCCCCCCCCCCATGCATTCTGCCTGTGCACTGGGGAGCACTGGGGGCTTGGCTGACATGGTCTAGTGTGAGATGTCCCTGCCTGTGGCAGCGGGTTGGAACTGGATGGTCTTAAGGTCCTTTCCAACCTAAACCATTCTGTGATTCTATGATTCCATGGTAGCAGATGGGGAGCATCCATTAAGCTGCCTGGGTATGGCACCGCAAGCAACGGAGGGCTCTGGCCCTCAACACCCTTCCCTTTCCTGCCTTTCCTCTGCCTGCCCACAGAGGAAAAACAACCATCAGAATGCCAAGATTTGGGCAAAAGAAGCAGCAGGGATTCACGGGGCCATCCTAAGCTGACTCACAGCTCACGAAGGCCAGTGAGTCACAGTGATGGTGACTTTTATCTCTCTTCGGTTTGAAGGCACATGATGGGACCTCCAAACCGTGCTTGCCCCATGACTTTCTCCACTCCCATCAAGTTCTGGCAGCACCATTCGCTTCCCCAAGATGCTTTCTGTCTGCTACTGGCTGTCTGTCCGGCTGTCAGGCAGCCAAGAGCAGCCGTTGGGCACAGGGCAGCTCCCAGAGGTATTGCACGGGGCCATGCGCAACTGGAACACCCTGGGAAGGAGGGATGGAAAATGGGAATTTATCACCCTCTGGGATCCAGGGCACGGGGCATAAACATCCATCACCCCACCTCGCTGCTGGTTGGCAGGGCGATGCTCGCAGGCCCTATTTGGTCTGTCCTGAGGATGAGTGACAGCTAACGGGCAACAACCAGGCGGCAAACCTGCATCCTCCCATCCCAGGGGTGGGAAGAGCTGTAACAGTCCCCTTCCTCTGCTTTTAAGCCTGGCTTTGCAGAATCCAGAGCTACCCCAATGTGGGTCTGCTTTGCAAAGCGGTCCTTGGCTTTCCATCAGTGCAGCGTGGGTTCTCTGATTGTGGCACATTAACAAGAAGCCTTTGGTCCATTTGCAGGCTTCACAAGTAAAATGAGCATGGTGCAGGCAAGGCCTTTCCCACTGCAGCAGCTCTGCTCATCACACGTTCTTCTTGACCTCAGTTTTGATGTTACATTGACCCTAGAAAAGCTCTGCAGGGCATCCCATCCACATGCAGCATGGCAACAAGCACAGGGCACTAGGGAGATGGCTCAGGGAAGGGCTGGTTTGGGAATGAGGGGTCTCTGATGAGCACCCTCCTTGCTCTGTGACTCCAGGAGGCTTAAGGTAGGTGGCAGTGAAGGGGCTGGTAGCAAAGCAGGCTGTGCAGTGTCATAGAATCAAGCAGGCTGGAAAAGCCCTCTAAGCTCATCCAGTCCAACCATTCCCCATCAATGCCCAGGCCACCACTAACCCATGGCACTGAGGCCTCGTCTCCACGCTGTGTGAACACTTGCAGGGACGGTGCCTGCAGCCCTGCCCTGGGCAGCCTGTTCCAATGCCTGAGCACCTCTGGGGCAGGAATTGTTCCTCAGCTCCAGTCTAAAAGTACCTGCACAGACCCAGACAGTGAACAGAGAGGAGCTGAGGCGTTTCTAGCACTGCCCCAGCTGAAGGCTGGGGTGATGCTAACGCTTGTCTCCCAAAAAGGACACAAGCCAGAGCCCGGCACCTGGAAAGGAAGGGCCGAGGAAGCAGCCCCTGGGAGCCAGGCTGGGCTGTTGGCCTGTTGCGAACAGTCTGTGCTTTGAGCTTTATTTAGGCACACAGACAGGATTTGGCTGCTGCCTCCCAGGCCCTGTTACTGTCCAGCCTTCAACCTGACTTCAGTTCCTCCGTCTTAACCCTGTCCTGCGATCCTGGAGGAATGTGTGTATTATATATTTGCCCACAGCTCTCTGTTGCTAAATATAAGAGTGAGACGAGAATATTTCTTGACAATTCCCACGATACCAGTTTGCGTTCTCCCCCCTTTTTTAGCCTTTTTTTCCTGTTCTTTCCCATCAGCTGGAAGCTTTTCCAGCTGCTTGGAGCTGTGACCTCAAAACATGCGGCACATCCACAGAAAAGAAACTTTGGTGAAATCAGTTTGGTTTCCAAAAGTGGAGAGGAAAAGAGAGGCAGGAAGGGTCCTGGCTGGGTACCCTGGGGTACACACTGGTCCTGGGGCAGACATGGACAAGCCGGGGTCACACTCACTTCCCTGGGACTCCCATCACCACTGCTGAGGTGTCCAACCAGCATTTGGGGGGTGGCTTTTTGGCACCCTCTTGTTGGATGCTCGGGGTGGATGCAGCTCATAGGCACCCCACGCATCCAATTCCTTCTTCCTCCCGCATCCCTCCTCATTCCAAACCCTCAGGGAGATTGGTTTTGGGGTAGGGGGAGCTCAGCCTATGAGTGACTTCGGTGGGAACCGGAGGGGAAGCAAGCTGCCTAAGAACAGTTTACTAAAGCATCACACTTGGGTGTCAAGAGGGCAAGTTTTATGAGTGCTGTTCTCTTTCTGATACAATCTCCTACTTGTTGATGTGCACGATGACTCTTCCCATGTGGGGCTGAAAATTTTCCATTTCCAAGCCCCTGAACCTGGGCTTGGAAGCAGCACAAACGCATTCACATGGGAATGCCCATGAGACCATGGGCACTGGTGGTCTCAGCAGGGGTGCTCCCATGGAGAAGGAGCCTGCAGAAAGCTGGTACCCAGACCCAGGGTCACAGCTGGCACATCTGGTTCAGCTGGGTGCAGGAACAGTCCCCAGCATCAGAAAATGAGCTCGAACCCCCTTTCCTGTGATATTTCCCTTTCATTGATCCCTGGAGCTGTGCCCAGGGGGTTTGGCTGATACCAGTGAAAGCCACGTGCTGGTTTAAGGCAGGGGTTGCTGCAGCTCATTCACCATGGAAGAGCTTGAGAATGCCAGGAGCCCGGGGGGACATCCCGGACACCCGAGCGGGCAATGGCTCTGTGTGGTGAAATCCGTGCCTGGGATGGAAAGGTCAGGAATGAAGGAGACCACTCTGTTTGCTAACAATAGGGGTGTTTTTTCCACACGGCTTGCCAGGCATCGTCATTTTAGTGTGTGGAATAAAACAGAAGGAACAAGGCTGGAGGGAAGGAACATGTCCCGGAGGCCACCTGCTCACTGTGGAGGGAGCAGGGACAACAAGGGACCTGCAGGGACCTTATATGTGTTGAGAGCCACAAGGCTATGGAGTTTTCCTCATCCTCCTCCTTGCACCGACACAGACTTGGATGCAGAAGATGGCTGGGGAGCAAAAGCCCAGGGGTGGTCAGTAATTCCTTTGGAAACTGCTTTCCAAACCTGCTGTTTGGAGCCCTTGGAGAGGTTTGGGAAGAGAAACTGTTCAGTGAGATGTGATATTGGTTTTGGGATGCCTTAGGGGAAAAAGCGCTTTTTCAGTTCCCATCACTGCTGAAGCTGTGGATGCTGCTAACACAGTGTCAATGGTTGGTTAGATCCAGAGTGCAGCTTTGAGGGTCATGTGAAGGCACAGACCTGTCCCAAGCAGGATGGGACCCATGTCCAGAGCCAGCTGAAACTCAGAGCATCCCCTAGCAGAGGAGGAAGCAGAAGGTGTGCAAAGGAGGTGCAGGGTGGGATGCAGGATGGGTGTTGGGATGCTGAGGCAGGACACATTGCTGTGCCAAGGACTGTGTGGGCAAACCTTGCCACTTCTTGGGCTAGCTGGATATAAACTGGATATAAAGCACCCGCTCTGCTCTCTGCCCTGCAGTAACTCCCTGCCCAGCTCTGTCCTAGCGCAGCAGCCAGCATCCCCTGTCCTGCGGCATTAGGCTCCTTCCCCTGGGGGTACCCCATCATGTGAGGGGTGATCCTGCACCCCTCGGGGCTCCCTGGCCCCATGTACGCAGCCACCCCGTGCACAGCATAGACGGATGGACGGAGCAGAGCCGGGAGGTGACGCACGCCCTGGAAAATGCTGCCCGGCTCCGTGATTCCCACTCATCCCACCCTGGATGAGAGGGGCTGCCCTGCAAAGAGCTACTGTGGCAAGGCCAAACATGGGCAGGGAGGGCTGGGCTGGCTCTCCGTGCGGGGGCTGCAGGATGTGCCCATGCTCCGTGCCCATGGAGCAGGGAGGGTGCCTTTCGCCCTCGGGCTGCTCACGGTGCAGACCCTGCGGCTCCTGCGTGCGTGCAGGGAGCGAGCCCTATCCCACCCAGGTGCCCCTGGGCACAGCATCAGGTACCCAGCACCCTGATCGCCACCCTGGATGAGCAGCCCAGATCCCTCCCTCGGCTTTGCACGCAGGACAGCCTGGCCCAAACACCCGAAACGGGCAGCTCCCTCTCCCTGCTCCTGCCAGCTTGGCGACAGCTCGGGGAGAGGACCGCCCGCACACACACCGCTGGGTCCCCATCCCTCCCCAAACCAAGCCTTATCCCTTGGGTTTCTCCCCGCTCCATCCCTCGCTGGGACGGGGCTTACCTCCGGCCGGGGGTCCTGCGCTGAGAGCCGGGGGCTGGCAGGCCAGCAGCATCAGCAGCAGCAGCGTGGCAGTGCCACCTCGGGCACCCATGGTGTCCCCCAGGGCTGGAGCAGCGGCTGGGGCTCCGGGTACGGCACAGAGCCGTCCTTCCAGCAGCGCTTCCAGGCGAGGGCTGCAGCTACTACTATATTTAATGAAGGGGAGTTGAGGGAGGGCCCTGTAACTTCTGCCGCCACTCAGGAAGGAGGAATTCGCTCAGATGACAGAGTCAATCTTTTCTCTCTTAAAGGGGCCCCTGCCCACCCGCTGCTCAAAGCACCCTTGTTTCCGTTGGGGCGAGGCGAGGGAGGAGCGGCCGCTGTCACCGAGAGGGGAAGGAGAGTGATTTGGGGTGCGATGGGTGGCTCCGGGGGCTTCCGTGGCTGTCCCCGACACAACCGGCTCTTGGGGTCCATGGAGTCCCGAAGCCGTGTTACCCGTCCCTGGCTCTAGCCCTTTCCCTGCCGCCTGCCGAAGCGGCTCTCACCCGGACTAAAGGCAACCGGACAGTCCTCGGGGCTCGTAACAGTCCAACCATGCACTGGGAAAAGGGCTTCCCAGCTTCCCCCTCCGTGCAGAGCCGATGCTGCACATATTGAGGATAAGGACACAATCCTTGGGATACGCAGCATCCCACCCAGCCAGGATCCCTGCTCCTCGTCCCACAGAGCCCAAGCAGTTTTCAGGGCTCTCCTTGCTCACAGCGTAGCTCACTTCCCATCTCTCCATCCCCTCTAAAGCTGCTCCCAGCCTTCTGCTTGGATCTGGAGCAGCACCCCCCTCCTTCCTCATGGATGTCTGTATTTCAGGTCCTTTCCCCCTCCACGCCGTGTTCCACTGATGGATTACGTATGGCTTGTTTCCTGCTGGTTTACTTCAAACCTCTTTCGGGCCCTCGGTGTGACTTTGCTGCCTTTGACAGTGTTTACAACACCTTCCAGCTTACAGTCATCTGCAAACGTGATTAATTTGTTGTTTACTCTTGCTTTCAGATCATTAATAAAGACATTAAATAAAGCTGGGATGTGCCGTTTTCTCAGTACCTTTCCATGAGGAATTGTCAGGGGCTGGGTAAGTTCATTAGCTAATTCTGTTTAGTCTGGGGGTTACACATTACCCAGACTTGCTGATTTGTACTGATTCAATTTTGTCAAGTATTCCCCTTCCTGCCTTTTATCTCGAGCTCTTCTGAGGACCTCTGTGTTGCTTTGCTCTCTGTCTGTCCTTAGCAGTCCCCTCTTTGCCTTGTTAAGGGCTGATTGAGGGGCTTGGAGCAACCTGGTCTAGTGGAAGGTGTCCCTAATGGCAGAGGGTTGGAACTCCATGAGCTTAAGGTCCTTTCCAACCCAAATCATTCTATGATTCTCTCCCTGGGTTTGCTCCTGCTTCCCCATTCCCAAGCTTGCTTCGCTCCCTGTGGCACCGAGGGATGAGCCACCGTTTGCCACAGGAACATTGGCCTCAAGCAGAGGCAGCAAATACGGCTCGAGCAAGAAGACACCTCCAAGCACCCTGAGCATCCTCTGTGTTGGTGATGCTCACTGGCCGGCTCCTGCCTCTGCAGGTAGGGTTTCCTCTGTCTGGCAGCAGGGAATGCTGCCCGCTGGCCATGCTGGCTTCAGTGTCACCCAGCACTGACCGGGAGGAGGTGTTGGGAAAACAGCAGAGACAAGCCTAGCAATGACAGAGTAAACCGTTCACTTTGCTTATTATTAATGACCATTATTTCCCCTCAAGGCAGGATATTACAACCTCTGCTTGAAGCTTCATATGTTACCCAGGGAAACATCCCCACGGCAGCCCCCTTCAGCCACCCCCATTGCCGGAGCCCCCGAGCACAGCCCCACATCTGGCCAGCACATTTGCTATCCCTCAGCCAGGCCCTGCCTGAGCCAACATCTGGCTGAGCAGCGGAGGGGCAGTGCCTTTGGCTCTGCCATGAAACCTGCTCTGCAGTGTGAGGAGCTGATGCTTGAGTGCCCCCAGCTCCATCTGCAGGCATCAAGGAGCTCCCTTTGCCCTTTGGTGAGTGCCACATCGCTGATGGGGGGGGGTACATAGGGGAGGGTTGGGGGGAAATCAGACAAGTTCAAGTCTGTCCTTCCTCTGTAGCCCAGGGGCTGGTATTGAGGCTGCCGCGGTCTCTGTCCCTCCTGGCTCAGGGCTGCTCTCCCTCCTTTCGTGCTGACCGGATGCGTTTATTTATCCGAGCCCCGCTCTGTTTAGGATGTGTTTCCAGGGAAGCCGGTGTGAGGGAGGTGAGGAGGGCTGCCGAGGGGCTCCACACCCCCCGAGCCAGGGTCCTGCCATGCCTGCAGGGATGCATGGGCACCTCTCATCCACAGGAGCCCCTCTTCATCCGCTGCATCCAAGACCAGCACAGGTTGGGAAGCCGGGAGCCCTTTCCCTGGAGAGCCTTTTTCCTGGAGAGCAGCATTCTCTGTTTGCTTGAGACTGGAGTAACTCAGAGCAGCGGGATGCTGGTGTTCACCTGCAGGGAGGAGACACCCCATTACACCCCATTCACCCTTTAATAAGCCTGCTTGGCTTTTCACCCCAACATGACTTCTGGCTCGGCTTTGCACAAGCCCCAAGCTCCCAACCTGCCACCCAGCACCGGCAGAGGAGGGGCTGGGCCGCCCATGGAGCAAGGCTGGGGGTTGCTGATGCTGTGAGGGGCTGCAGCTTGGGAAGAGAGCCCATCCGAGGGAGGAGAGGCGAGCAGCAAGCGTGCTTGGAGCGCACCGCCAGCGTCTGGAAGGAATATCCCATCCGGTGCTGGCAGGAGGGAGCGCATTCATGAATGCTGCTGGGATTTAGCTCCTCAGCATCTGCCTTCCCAAGTGCTGCAGGGATGTTATAGGAAACAAAGCAAACCCTTCAGATCTGACCTGGTCGAAGCAATGACCCAGCCGGAGGGATCTCCTTTGGGGTGGCCTTTGCCATGCACCCATTCCCTGAGGAGCAGGACATGAGCTGGGTGCTGTTCCAGCCAGGCTGGAGCCTGTCCCAGACACATGCAGTGCTTAGGATAATGGTCACCTCGGGGAGGTTTGCTCAGAGAAAGCACTATGAACCTCGTGACTGTGGTTGCAAACAGCTGGGCAGATGTGCAGTGTCTCTGTGGTTGGGGTTGTACAGAGGGATGTCACGGGGTTAGTACGCTATGTCCGGTGTGCCGTGCCTCTGGGGAGGAAACAAGGAGGAAGGGGATGCTGTGGGGAGTCGGGGCTGCTGCGTTAGGCATGAGAAGCACAGCCCTGTGTCCTCCCAAGCCTTTCTCTTGTCTCTTTGCAACCAACCAAGCAGTCTGTGCGGCAGGGACATGCTGTTGATGTAAGGAGACAAAACAGTTCACAGAGTTGCAGGGCCCTGAGTGTTCCAATTGCCCTGATGAGCCCCATCTGGGCTCTCACCCACACCCTCCGCCCCCCTGCATTTAAGCTCAAGTGCCTCCATTCCTTGTTTCTCCTCGTCAGGGATGTGGTGGGGCATGGGGTTGATGCTGGTCTCTGGTGGTGGCCCTGCCTGCTTGGACAGAGGGGTTGCATCCCTTGTCTAGCTGCCTGCCCAGCACAGGGGCTCTCCTTGCCCTCATGACCAGGATGTGTCTGCAGCATGGTAAGCAAGCATCTCTTTATTGCCTTGGTGCTACTTCAGGGTGCTCCCACCTGGGCACATTGCATGCAACCTCTGCATAGGGGTGGGCTTTAAAGTCTCCCCAAAGCAACCTGATGGGCAGTGCAGGACAGTGCTGGGGGGCTATCTTTGTGCTGGGGCCTTGCAATGGTGCTGGACCATGGGATAACCAGTGTGGGCCAAACCCCCAGCTATCCTGCTGCTTGCCCCAGGCCTTGTGCGGGGGGCTTGGTGTGAGATGGGCTTTATTTGCACCCTGAGGGGGGTCAGAGTGCTGTGGCTGTACTTCCCTGTGACTAATACCCTTTGCTCTTTCTCGAGCACTGAACACATCACTCCCTGGTGTTAGCTCAAAAAAGGAAATCAATAAAGCCCATTTATTTTTATCTGGGAGTTAGGGTGCTTTGGAAGAGGAACTGAGCTGTAATTTGGAGTCAGCAGGCTCACCAGCTTCTCCGGGGCTTGTCAGGCCCAGGAACGGGCTTTTAACACTAGATAAATATTGACTGATGTGTTTTCAAGGAGTGAGTTCTCTACTGTGTGAAGGGGGAACCCTCAGAGAGCATGGGGAGGGCTGGAGCAAGCCCTTGGAGCATCCAGGAAGCAGTGGTGAGCTGTGCTGGCTGCTCAGGCTCACTTCGGGTGTCCAGTGAGGTCTCAGGATCTAACTGGGCTGTGACAGAGCTCAGGGTCTCAGGAAGCTTCTGGTAGAACCTGCTTGAAGGGATGCTGCTGAGCAGCTTGCTCCAAGCCCCTGTGTCCAACCTGGCCTTGAACACTGCCAGGGATGGGGCAGCCACAGCTTCTCTGGGCACCCTGTGCCAGCGCCTCAGCACCCTCACAGGGAAGAGCTTCTGCCTAAGAGCCCAGCTCAGTCTCCCCTCGGGCAGGTTCAAGCCATTCCCCTTGGCCTGTCCCTACAGGCCCTTGTCCCAAGCCCCTCTCCAGGTTTCCTGCAGCCCCTTTAGGCACTGGAGCTGCTCTAAGGTCTCCCCTTCAGGAGCCTTCTCTTCTCCAGGCTGCAGGCGGCAGCCCAGGAGATGGCACCAACGCACCGCGCTGCCCTCCGCGCCGGGGATGCTGCTCCGAGCCCGCCTGGGACCGGGACCGGGTCCTGCTCCGAGCGCGGCGCCGGGGGCTGGGATGGGCAAAGGGAGCGGTGGGGCTCTGCTGCCAGCCCGGCCGCGGTCCCTCCTGCGGCTCCAGCGGAGGTGGGGGTGAGAGGAGCAGCCCTGGCACATCCAGGCTGCCCCGGGGCCCGTCCTTGTGAGCACAGAGCCTCCGCTGCTCTCCATCTCTTGAGCAAGCAGCGCGGCTGCCGGAGCTCCAGCCGCCTCCGCTCTTCCAGTAGCGTCTGGCTACTGGTGGTGGCTGGAGGGGGGATATGTGGTTAAGGAGGTCAGGATGGGCATGTTTCTGTGGGATGTAAGGCGGCACCATAGGGAAGGTTTGGAGGTGGCCTGAGGATGGAGAGCAGGTCACTGGCAGCCCATCCCAGCCAGGATGAAGTGTTCATCAGAGCTGAGCCACATAGGGGTGAGTCCTGAAGGGTGGGTACTCAGTGGTGAACAAAGGTGATTGTGAGGGAGAAGGGGTGAAGCTTTGACAGGGAGAAA